TCTGTACAGTTCTTCTAGCAAAACCTCTTTTAATAGAAATTTGGTTTAAACTCAATCCTGAATCAATGTCATCACAAATTAAAGCTTTTTTAATATCATTTCAATGTCTTGCCATATAAAAAGGCTTCAAAAATGATTTTAAAAAATGAAAATTGGAGGTAAAATTAAAGTGGCTCTTTTTTTTGAACAGTGTTTTAAAATTTTTTGATTTAAAGTATAATTTTTTAATAAATTTTTTGCTTTCTTTCTTTCTTACATTAAATTTACTTTATTTGCTTAAAAGTAAAATAATTGTATAAATTTAACCTATAATATATTTTTTTAATGTTTTCTTTCAAAGAATACCCCAGCTCTTTTTTTTGAACACCACTGTATAATATTTTAAAAAATTATTGCTGATTATTATTTTAATTTTTTTAAGAAACAGAAGATAGTTTTTAAGTTAAAATTTTCTATTAATTTATTATAAGTAATAAAAACAATATTATTTTATTATATTTATTTAAGAAAAAAATACATTGTTGGAATTCGTTCGGTAAATTTCGTTCTGTTTTAAAAAAATGGTTAAGTATTGGTATAAAAGCTAAAGATTTTTGTTTCGGTGGGTCATACCGGTATTAACAGAACGTAAAATAGTCAAAATTTTGTTCGTATGTTCTCGTTCTTATTAAAAAATCATGACAAATGGTTATAAAAGAGATTTTTATATTAAAACCAATATATAACGAAACATTTAGATTTAAAATTTAAAAAATAAAAAAATTTAAATAAAACAATTTGTTTTATTTTAAAAACATAAACTACCACTTTATTTTTTATTAAAATAGTAAATAATTTAGAAAATATAATGTTGTTAATATATTTTAAAGAAATGAATTTAAATATTATAAAAGCCTAAAAACGATTTTCAGCCATCATTTAATCAAAGGAATTGGTTATTAAAAAAGTTCAATATTCCATAAATTTCTAAAATATTATTAAAAAGAGTATATCATTTAAAGTATTAGATTCTAAATTACACCTTCTATTATTTAAAGTATAACTTAAGTCTAAAAAAGCTTTTTTCAACTGATACTTGATTTAAAAGAATACTTAAAATATTTAAAGCAATAATAGTCAATAAATTTCCTTTTCTTCTCTTAAACTCCCAATAATTTAATACATCTATATTACTTCAATTCGTGATAACTCTTTCTCAACTAAACATTCTAAGATTTCTTCCTTATTTTCAGTTTCATTCATATTTAAATTACTAATAAAATTAAAATGTTCATTAATTTCACAAATATAATTTATACCATCTTGTTTTTTTGAGAAGTTAAAATATTTTTAATTCTTGGATCTAAAAACAATGCTGAATTAAAAAGATCATTATTGAATAAATTACATATTCTATTATCAATACATTTTCTTAATCTAGACTGTCGTACCTACTCTTACTAAAAAGAATTAAATTGGGAAACTAAAATTTTTTATTAAAAATTTTACCCATGAATTTCGTGAATAAATTATTAAGAAATAAAAGCATTAAGTCTAATATTAGCTGTAGTACGTTAGGAGATGATTACAGAAGCTTACCTCCTACTATTACATGTAACATTAAGCATGATGATGATGTAATGGAACGTACGACATAGACAAATAATTATTTAAAGATTCAATTTCTTTAAGTTCATAATTAAATCTAAATAGAAATCTGTGAAACTTAAATGTAATTTTTGTAACTTGAGATTGGTTTCGTTACATAAACTAAAAATTTCTACTAAAAATTCAAATTGTTTTAATTGAATATTTGTTAATAAGAATTCATTATAAAACACATTCTTTTTTCTTAAATCACAAAGCATATCTTTTAAAGATTTTAACATTATATACAATGCAAACCATCTAATACTATTATCAATTAAGGGAATTTTAATATTCTTTGCTTTAAATATGTCAATATATGGCTGTCTTCGTACTATTTTAACAATTTTACGAAATTCTTCAATAAATAAAATTCACTCGCAATAAAATCGTTTATTGCCAATTGAAATGTATGTGCTGAATATGAAATTCTAGAAATATTTGAAGAACTAATATTTTCAACGTATTTTTCTAATTCACTATCAATCATTTCATCATTAAACTCATCTGAATGATCATTTATCTCCAAATCATATTACAAATTATGATCAATAGTTGAATTTAGATAATCAATGGTTTTAACCATATTTCGTGTATTATCTATCGTTGCAGCGATAATTTGTGTTTTTTTATTTGAAAGTTTTTTAATATTTCATTTATATATTTGGCAATGTTATCTACAGAACCTGGTCCTTTTAATTGTTTGACAGAAAGATTTAAACATACAATTTGTGTATCAAAATATTGACAATTTACGGAAATAAAATGCTTTCCAAATCTCATGGTGGTGTCAAATTTAATAGATAATATTCGATTGTTTAATCTTTTTATAATCTGATTATGTTTGAGAGTTGCATTTTCAGTAACAAATTTTCCAATAGTATGTCTATTAAGAGTTATATCGAAAGCTTTTAAATATGGTAATAATAAATTTTTAACATATTTGCAATCAAACATTAAAAAACTACAACCATTTTTTATTAACAACGATAATATTGTTTTAATAAAATCTTCTTTTGATAAATCAATAATTATTCTTTTTTCAGTTTTCTCATTAAGGTTTTGATTCATATATCTATTTAAAGAATTTTTTTAATAAATTGAATGTATTTTTAAAATTTTTCGTAGTATTTTATTGAATGATTTCTTATCAAATGTTTTTTAAATTATTCTTGTGGTAGTTTTCCTTTTTATATTTCTGATTACAGTTATTATCATCTAAAACACAAATATAATATTGATTGTCGGTGGTAAATTTATAGCACTCTTTAATAAATTTTGTCTCTAATTTATTTTTCATATCTGTATTAAAATTCATAAAGTAAAAAAATAATTTTTTTGAATTTTCAGAAGATTTTAGAACTAAAAAATTTTTGTTCCGTTCTAAACAAAAAAATACCGGTATAACTATAACATTCGGCAACATTGTATTCTTGTGTTCTTTTAATTCATTTACAATATCATCTGACCACCCATACCACTTATCATTATAAAATCTATCTTCTTTATTGCAGTGCAAGTTAACAATTCCTACAAATATTTTATAGTTTAATAGCTTGAATGTATTTATCCTATTAATAATCTCTTCATCAGAATAAGGCTTAAAATTTAAAAGATTACTAACATTCTTTTTATTAATGTTATCTATTCCAATAGAATTATTTAGAGAATCAAGTATAAGTGACAGATTGTTTAGTTCTTCCTCATTTTGATTAGTTTATTTATCATTTTTTTCTTCACTATTCATTTAAATCGATTTGAAACTTAAAAAATTTTTTAAAATAATTTGTTTTAATTTTCTATTCTTCTATTCATCGTCTTGTATTAATTGATTATTGTCTAGTAATAATTTATTATTAAATAAAAAAGGAATGCATCATCTTAAGTTTATAATAAAAAAAGATTCATAACATTAAACAAATCATATTTAAATTAAACTTTATAAATATTGAAAACAATTTAAGTTTCTTTTTTTAATATTTTAAACAAAATTAACTAAAATTTTGATTAAAATTTTAAATAACTTTATCTAACTAACTTTTACAATTCATTTTTCTAAATATTTTAATTATATTTACATTTAAATAAATCAATCATTTTTAAAACAAATAAAAATCCTGAATCATACATGAAACATTATGTTTTGTGCTACTAACGGATTTTCAAAAATTATTCTATTTTTAAATAGACATATATTTAGTAATAAAACATCAAATTTAAACTTAAAAAAGAACAGCCCAATTCTTTTTAATTCAAGAACATTCTCTTTCCAACAATCTCTTAAAAAATTTAAAGATTTAGAAGAAAAAACTCAAACCAAACAAAAAGCAAAACCTATAATAGAAAATAGAGACATTGATTTCAATAAATCTTTAAAATTACTTAGAGAATTCTTTGAAAAGAGTGATGTAAAGAAAAAAACTAAAACACTTCAAAAATATCACAACTCTATTGTTTATGGTTATTTTTACTTTAGTTCTTATACTTCAATTTAAAATAAATTTTATTAAAATTTTTTATAAAAATTTTTACATGAGATTTATTTGACATACACAGATTGTAAAATACTAACATCGCTTAATAAGTTAATAAATAGAATTTGTGGTTTAATAAATGCTTATTTAAAGTGATGTAATAAAATAAACAGTTTATTACTAATCTCTTTAATAATAATATTTTTATTAAAAAACCAATAAATAACCATCAAAGTAAAAACAGTAAAACAAATATAAAACATTTAATTTAATGTTTTTCTTATAAAAATTTTTTATCAATTTTTATTTGTTTATTTTATTTTTAAACCCTTAAAATGAATGGAGAAACCAAAAAGAGAGAATCTTGTAAATACATCTTATGTTTAATTCATAACCATGAACTAACAACCAAGGAGATAGATATATTGTTAGGATATAAAGATTACTTTAGCTGTGAAAATTTTAATAAGCATATCTTAAGCAATATTGTAGATAATAGTATATCAAATGAAGAACATGTTAATGAAATTCTAAGACTATACTTTAGTATAACTCATAGGTTCGATTCCAGTTATTTTATTAATTTGAATCTTTCATTACAAGATCATGATATTACCATTTTTAATGGAATAATCCAATTATTTTTGTATAGGTTTAAAAAACATCCATCTATAGAATTAGCATTGATATCAATTAAGTTATTTTGTGTATTTCCTAAAAAAGAATATTATGATAATAGTTTTTATGAACCTTTATATTTTGCATTTAATTACTATAATAGTTTTATAAAGACTTTAGATAGATTTGATAATCCAATTAATATAAGAACAATATTAGAAAGTATAAAGGAGGTATGTAATTTAACAAGTAATAAAAACATTAGAGAGAATGAAACAATTAAATATTTACTTGGAATACATGAAATTTTGTATGAAATTAATAGAGTATTTCGAGTATGTAAATATGATGAGTTTTATTTATCAAAGTTTTTTAAAGATATCAATATAGAAGAGGAGTTGACTTATAAAAGAAAGAACAATCAAAGTCTATTAGACAACACTAAAATAATTCCGATAAAAATGAAAGCCGAAATATTAAGAATACAAAATGATAATATACAAAAGATAAACATACAAGATTCATTCTTTAGGACCCTATTTGAAGGAGTGCAAGTGCCTTATCTTTACATTCATGTTAAAAGAGAATATCTTTATGAAGAAACACTAAAGATATTACAAAATATAGATACAAATGATTTAAAGAAACAGTTAAAAATTAAATTTAATGATGAGCCAGGTGTTGATTCGGGAGGAATTAAAAAAGAGTATTTCCAATTAATATCTGAATGTATAACTAACGATAAAGAATTATTTATAACACGAAACAATAGTCTGTGGGTAAGAAAGGGAGCTAATTTAAAGAAAATCAGGGCAATTGGAATAATTTTAGGGATAGCATTATACAACAATGCTATACTGTCAATACCTCTAAATGTGTTGATATTTAAAAAATTACTTAACTTTGAATTAGATATTGAAGACCTGTCATTCATTGAACCAGAACAAGCAACCTCATTAAGAAATTTAACTAAAAGTGTTAATGAATTAAATGATGAATCAGTTGATAAGTTTTTTAAAGAAATGGATTTAAAATACACCATTATTTTTGATAAGAAAGAGTATAAATTATCCAATAAACATAAAGTTGTAACTAAGGAAAATTACAGTGAGTTTATTAAGCTTTATAGTCATTTCTATACGATACAGGCAATTAATGAGGAGTTTGAACAGTTATTAGATGGATTTTACTCAGTTATTAATGTTGAATTTATTAAAGATTTTCATTATGAAGAACTAGAAAGTATATTAGTAGGAATTAAAGAAATTGATTTTAATAAGATAAGAGAAAATTGTCTGTACCAGGGATTTGATGGGAGTTCACAGATAATTGAAATGTTTTGGGAAATAGTAGAATCATATAATCAAGTTAAAAAATCAGAACTGCTTAAATTTGTGACAGGTAATGATAGATTGCCTATTGGTGGAGAAGAATCTTTAAAGTTTACTGTGATACATAATGGTTGTGACACAAATAGACTTCCAAGTGCACAAACATGTTTTAATAGTTTATTAATACCTGAATATTCAAGTAAAGAAAAATTAAAGGAGAAGTTAGATAAAGCTCTCAGTATGACTGTTGGGTTTTACTTGTTATAATAAAATTATTTAATAGTAACTTAATAAACAAATTCGTCTGAAGAATTAGTATGATTATTAATATGTATAATTTAATACAATTGAATATATAAAATATTATGATTGAATATAAATATACATTTGATAGTAAAAATATTGAAATAACTTTATAATTATTTATAAGATTGTAATCTAATAAATAAAAGATGTCATATTTTTTTAATAAGAAAATTGATGTTATAAATAGAACAACTAAAGTTATTAGAAAGTCTAAATTATTTGGTAAATAATTATTAAGTAGGTGTTTATAAACTTTATCATTCATAAGTAACATGTCTATTAATTTATATGTTATGTTTCTTTCTTTATAACTGTCAATTGTTTTATTACAATACTTACATATTGTTTTATTAATCTCATTTGATTTATCACAATTTAAACAACTATAATTCATTTTTATTTTAATTAATTTTTTGTTATTAAATTTTTTTAAAATAAGCTTAATTGTTTATTAGAATTCACTTAATATTTTGTTATTAAAGGATTTATATAAATCATTTTAATAACATTAACAGAACTATAAATTCAATAAGAAATGTTAATTTATTATTTTTAATTTTTTTAATAAAAGAATGTTTTTATTTTCTTTACTCAACTTAACTGTTAATAAATCTCTTCTATTAATCTTTATTGAACAAAGAGTATGAATAATCATAATTTTTCAATTGTATCTTTAAACATTAAAAAAAATTTATAAACTTATCTATTTTAAAATCAACATCATTTCTTTTAAAATAATTATTGTTTATTATCTGAAATCAATTTTTTGAAAAATAATTATTTAAACGTCTTATCTCTTATAAAATTTATTCTATTAATTATTAATTCAATAAAATTGAAATTTAACAGTAAAATTTTAGAAATATTAACAACTTTATATTTTATATTAACATGTTTAAAATAAATTTTGTTGTTATGATGTCTTCCAAAATCTAGATTATTTTTTAGTTTCTTCCATCAAATTATTTTTCTTATATTTGGTTTAAATTAATTTATATTTCAATAAGTTTGTTAAAAGTTTATCATCTCATATTGATCAATAGAAATTTTCTCATATAATCCTAATATTCTAACAAAGGCACTGTTTAGATTAGCGCTTCGTTTTGTAGTTTCAATCCGTTAATTAGATTAGAGCCCTTTTACTTTTTATTGGTTATTCTTACAAAAAAAATTATTACACTTATTGATATTTCTTTTTAAATATTCTTATAAATTCTAGAAATATTTATATTAGTTGCAGTACTCCTGTACTGTAATTTAAAGAGTAGGATATTTGATCTTTTACTATGTATGGAAATGTCTACAAGTTTCCATCTTAAGTTAGTTAGTAAGGTATTTAAATTTGTGAAAATCTTTTAACCTATGAAAAGTGAATACACAGACGATAGAGACAAGACTATAACTGACACAGAGACAGAGAACACAAGAACAGATGAGACAGAATCATCATCAGTAAATAAATTATCTTCTACCAGCCGTCTAGCCTTCGGCATTAGTAATAAAAATAAAAAATATTCAAATGACTTTGTAAAAAAATAGTGACTATTTACTTATTTTTCATTGTTTTTAGCTTATTATGGCTGTATATACGCTCAATTAATTGAGTATAACACCTTGTTATTGGATCTATAAAATTTCCACTGTAGTTAAACACGTTACGTTCATTAAAATGAGAAGTTAACTTACATAAGCTCTCCAAACATCTAAGACAATGATATTTTATCTATCAAAATGTTCCAAACAAAAGTGGTGGCAAAGTGTCACTGTTTAATTTTTTAAAAACTTTTGTATTTTATAGTGTCCTATTCTGTCATTTCAAAATCCATAGTCAATCAGCTCTATCACAAAAGTTTAAACGTGATTGTTATACAGATTAAACACCATAAAGTTATCAAAAAAAGTCTTCCTTGGTTGTACTTTTGAGAACCTCTAAAAACAAACTCGTTTGTTTCTATAATTTTCTTGGACCTACTAATTTATAACGGTATTGTTTCGATTGGCGCCCCACGATCGGATTGGCGCCCCAAATTTTATATATATACAGTATTGATCAAAAAAAAGTGACCACTTGAAAAATATGATAAATAAATTTAATTTAACATTTTTAATAATA